TACTGGCTTTTCGGCTTCGCCCATGGCCAGAAGGCGTACAATAGGAGCTGCCTTCTTGAGAGGCTTTGTCTTATTCTAATCTACTCACAGCTACGGCCAGTTGCAATCAAGGTGATTAATACAATCACAAAAACACCTGTAGCCTGATTGCTGATCACATAGTGCAATCGCCAAAGTCTGTGAAACTCCTGCCAGGATTGTTCCGATTTTCGAAATCATTAAAGGCTTTGTTTGTTTTTCTTGAGATGGCAGCTGCAAGTTGTGTGGCTCACATACCTAAGTATGCTTCAATTCATGACCAGCTTTATTCATTTATATTCATCACATTTCTCTAGTCCTCCGTGTTGTTTCCTAGTCATCAAACTATTAGGCACCTGTATGGAGTAGTTACATTTTGTTTTTACGTTTTTATCAAAACGGTTTGTGTCACCCTGTCTGGAATTCATCACCCTTGCTACGAAATGTCAAATTAATCTCACGTTGAGATACTTTTTAAAAGTGGAGATGACCGGCATTAAATGTTGTGTTTCTTTATCACTCCTGTTCATATTTTGTATATTACTTCAGTCAAAAGACACCACCAGTGTTCAATACGCCCCGTCCGAGCACAAGCTTTTCAGCCTGGATAAGGTGAGCGTGAGTGAGCACGTACTAAGCAGTACCGAAGGTAATGAGCGTGCACTGCTGCATTTTCAAAGTTTCATAAATGCTCTTTTTTAGAAAAAAATAAAAGCCAGGCATTGTTGTGGTATATTCATAACATTGTGGCTTTCTTGAAGAATGCGGGCATTCTGAAGGTGTTGCCGAAGGCTTGCCAGGGTGACAGCGCGGTCGAAGGCGACAAGTGCGAGCTAGTACACGCTCTATCGCAAGCTCTTGTTCTGCGAAAGCGCTTCTCAAAGTCGCTCTTGCATGCCTGTAGCCTTTGCTGCCCTACAGTGGTAATGGTAGGCAACTCCGGCTGACACAAGAAATCATCTAATCGCTGCCACACTCCGTTTCCCTTTAAAGGGCTGGTGAACCGAAATTTGGATTTCAGAAAACGATGCAGAAGCCGTAGGCGGGACGCTACAATCCCTAAAACACTACTCGTAGTCACAAGGCGATATCTCGAATGGACGGCCGTATTTTTGGAGAAAGAGGTTGAGATTGAACGAGGCCGATGAGGCGCGTGACGTCAAGATATCTCGTTTTGTCCTCTCTGCTTCGCCCCCTCAAGGCGGCGAGGCGGAGAAGACGCGAGGTCGTTCCCTTTCCTTCTCGGAGAAACAAGACAAACAAATCTGTCAAATGCGCCTCCTATTTTTAAAAGTAAGGTCATCCATTCGAAATATCGCTGTATGAGTGATGTTTTGGTGTTTGTAGCATCTTGTTACACGCTTTTGCCGCCGTGTTTTATGGAATCCAGATTTCGGTTCAACATCCCTTTAAGTGCAAGTGAAACTGAAATGCCAAGAATGAGCACGTTGTCCTGAACGACAGTTGCACTGCACAAGCGCGCATGCTTAGCAACATTCAAAGCATGGAGCTTGCTCTTAAAGCCTCTGCATCAGGCTTCCTGTTGCAGCTCGTGGTACCGAAGCAAGCTTTTGGGCAGACACTTTTTTATAAGCAGAAACTTCACCTGGCACCGCAGAGCTCCGACCGGTACTCGGAGTACTTAGTTGCGGTACTTTAGATAAAACAGAAGGGCAACAGGTGAAGTAGAAACTTCACCTGCACCGCAGTGCTCCGACCAGTACTCGGAGTACTTAGTTGCGGTATTTTAGATAAAACAGAAGGGCATTGAGCAGTGCAAACTACGATTATTGTCAGGTAAGAAGTATTCAGTTGCAGTAATTGTTTTGCTTTACATACAAAAAGGCTGGAGTATGCTTAAATGCTGGGCTAGCAACCGATTGCTACCAGGGGCCCTATGCTACACGACGGGACCAAGCGGAATCAAGGGACCGGGAGCCATCCAGCGACCTGGATGCAAAGATGGGTTCAGCTTTCACGGGATTGGTGCCACCTGGATCTTGTCCCAAAGGGCCAGCAGCAGCTGGATAGCCTCGCATTGCGATGCGGGGATGGGGATGCCGAGCGAGCTCGGGGCATGCCGCCCACTCAGTGTGAGGGCCAGGTGCTCCCACTGACTGGCTAGGTGCATGTTGATGAGTTCCTGGAAGGTGTTGTTTACACTTACCAGCCGGAGCTTGGCGTTCGACGCGTACGGCGGCACCCCCAGTGCCAGCTAGTACCCCTTGCGAATAATCACATCCATCTTGCCCTTACCTCTCGACAGCAGGTCAGGTTGAGATACGGATTTGCGCAGGCGATGTGGCTCACGACGAGTGGTTGGGTCAGCCGGATCAGGTCCGACTCCTAGAGCCCGTGTCTGTGACTCGTTATCCTTCTCACCATGCGCATGACTTGCGTGGTTGTCTTGACGAGTCGGTCGACCGTGTACTTGGCTCCGCCGTCCCGCTGGAGGTGAAGGCCCCAGTATCCGAACCCGCTTCACCACCGGCACGGGGGTACCATCCTTTAACGTGAGGCGGATGTCCGCCTTCTTCTTCTTCGGGAATTGGCTTGCCCGCGCGGAGGAGCAACAGCTGAGACTTATCGGGGGCGCGCTGGAGGTTGCCGGCCTCGAGGTAGTTCTGCACCGTCTCAATGACTTCTTCGAGGAAGTCTTGCCTCCCGCTGTCCGATCCCGACGTAGCCCAAATCGTCAGGTCGTCCACATAGAGTGGCATAGAGTGTATGCTTCATCCGGGGAATCCGTTCCAGTAGAGGAGGCGGCTTGCACATCGCCAGGTAACAAGGTGGGTGACAGGACCGAGCCTTGCCGGTTGCCCTTGCTCGGTATCGGGATGGTGCTTGTGGGGATGGACTCGATTCCGATGGTGGCCATCCAGTTGCTCAGGAAGTCCCGCACATAATCATACATCCGGGGCCCGCACCCAGTTGAGGCCAAGTTCTCGAACACCAGCGTGTGACTGACGTTGTCAAAGGCGCCCTTTATATCCAGGGCCAGGACCGCCCGCGTTGTCGTACAGGAGATTCTGTCAAGGATATCCTTGATCTGAAGCAGGACATCCTGCGTGGAGGTGTGACCAGAACCCGAAAATGGTGTTCATGGTGGCATTGAGTTCAATACAGGATGGTCCCCTCAAATATCGCTGTAAACAGCTCATCAGGGCATGGGCATTTAAAAAACTGAAATGGAGTGTCCAGGTCTGTGACGCTCGGCGGTATTAGCCCCGAGAAGTTCGCCTGGCGCCCCCTTACGGCGAACCGGGGTGACGTCACGGCGAGGAGAGAATTTTTCCCGGACTCGCCCCGCTCGCCCTGTGGAGGCTGTGACGACGCTAGCTGTCGGCGCGCTCGTTTCTATTTAATTTTTTTTTTGGCGTGTTTTTCGTAGGAAGTGTAAATTTTTATATGTGCCTTTATTGAGGTATGGCCTGTCGCTACAGGCGAAACTTCAAGCAACACTTTAAGCATGGCTGACAGGCCAGGCAACGCATGAACCACAGCTGGTATGTGAAAATAAAGAGATATGGCCACAATTGCAGGGGCATCACTACAGATTTACATCTCGCACAATAAACGCTGCTGATGGTCCGAATGAATTGGCAAATTATGTATACTATTTTTTTTTTGTATCTCCGTGTTTAAACAAGATCGCCGAAGCAGAAAAGCTGCATGCTGCTCGAGCTACGTGCTAAATACAGTCTCGACCATGGGGAGAGAATCACAAGTAAGACAGCCCAAGTGCAGGGGCAAAGTAAAAAAACAAACAAGGAACATTTATTATATACATTGCTCGCACTTTACCTTTGCTGGATTCGGATAGTATTTCAATGGACTACAGGGGTGGTATCTGTGGACTTGTTTATATCAATCCTCAAGTAATATATAACAAATGTAAGTTATGGTGTCTAGCTCATTATAAGTCCATTAAGCCCTAAAATTGAGATTTTACTTAAATCGAATTGTCCTGAAGCTAAAGTACCAGAAGCTTTTCTCACGCAGACTGTCGCCCTTAACAGGTTCCACATTTTCTGCTACCAGTGCTGCATCTACCACTAGACAGACGTTCGAATGCTTGCTTTTACTCCTGTTTTCCTCTGTTGTCAGAGAGTCCAGTTGCAGGGAGTTTGGAGGCTGAGGAAGCTTTTGGGGACCTGCGGCAGTGACTCTTAAATGGAAAGGACAATTCAGACTAAACGGTGTATTTTCCGAATACCAAATAAAGAATGTCAGGAAAAAGTATAAACATTCCAAATTACGGCACTATTGCTGTGCATATTTTGGGCAGTTTACTACATATCATAGAGACAACTGGGGGAAATTCGGCCGTTTTTGCTGCTACCATACAAACTAATTTCCAGTTATTGCGAATCCTCTAAGAAATATGCCTGCATACGCGTATAAACTATATAATTGATTCAGGAAGAAGCTACATTTATGTAAAACAACCCTGTTCCATGAGCACTTCAAAGATCATCAGACGCAGGGCCTTTAAAACATCTGCAAACCAGCGCATGCAGAGTGGCAGCGCAGAGTCGGGGTCGCGAGCTAATTTGCCGACCACCGAAAGGCCCACGATATAAAGGCCGCTTTAGATGCCTTGAAAGCGGGATGTAATATCGTCCTAAATCATGAACATGCAAGGAACAGAATTCCAGCGTCTGAAACACTTGCGTAACCGCTTCACCGACCCCTCTCAAGATTGCCTTGCATCGTGAAGCCCGAACCACATAGGGCGTATTCTCAACGAGTTTACGCGCGTTTTAGCGGGCGTAATCGTGGCGTCTAGCGGACGTTTTTTTCGTAGGAAGGAAGAGGGGAAGGTCGCCGACCCACATACGGCGCTTTCCGTCGGCGTCTCCTCGTCGTATAGCGCGGTGTTGCCAACCTGTAGCTTGAAAAATAAGAGTACATCAAACCCGAAACTTGATTTAAACTCAGTTATCCTTTTGTATTAACTTGTTATTTAACGCATAAATATACTTCAATGCTATTACGTGCCAACATATTTTGTCTCTCTCAGTATTGACGTGCCGAATTTGTTATCATCATCATTAAATACACCACGCGCCTGCGCAGTGGCGCGCCGTTCTGCTAGTTTTGGCGGTCTGCTGCTTGTCTCCTGGTGCTCAGCTTTGTTCCTCGTACTTTTGTTTTTAGTTATTTCCAGTATTTTCCTTTTTCTGTCCGTTGTGCATTGTGTTTTTTTACCGGACTCCGCAAGGATGGAGCGCGAGCTACAAGTGCTTCTGCTACGAAAGAAGGTAGCGTTGCTACGATTAATGCGAGAAAAGAGGAACCGGAGCGAGCGGACCTGTTGGGTTCGCCCGATTTTTCTCAAAAGGAAGGAGGAAGGGCTCTACCACACTGCCGTAAGTAGAAGAGCTTATAAATATAGACTTTTAGTAGACTTCCGACACCCCCGAAATCGATACTCCAAACGATACGATTCATGCCAAAGGCGGCGGCGGAGATCGCTTCGATCCCACTTTAGACTGTCCGCACAAATCGGGTTCTTAAATCGTATCGCTCTAGGATTTACTACAGAGGTTCCTGAAGGTGGTGGAAGCTTTCACTAAAATTGTGGAAAGATTGGCTCACCTGAGTAAATCAAGAAAAATCAGACTGTTTTTCCTGTACTTTGCATGTACAGTTAAATAATATTTTGTGTCGCTATGGCGCTTATTTTGGCCAACTGAAGTAGAGTATTGTAACAGTTGGGACCAGATGCCGAAGTTTCAGATCTTTCCGTTCTCTGATTTAAAACAAGTTTGCGATTTTTGTAAACCTTCATTGAGAAAATAGACAAGGTTCTCAGTAAAAGACGCCATTCATGTCCATAATTAAAAATAATGAAAATCGGGCATCTGGTTGAAAACGTTTGCGCCACATTTGGACAGAGACACTGTTCGGTGATGTAGTCTAAATTTACTGTCAGAAAAACATGGTTCTCTTTTCTCCCAAAACAAGCTGTATATTGACCAGGCAAGCTAATTACAAGGTTTTCCTTCTTGCTCAGATGAAGCTGATGAGACAAGGAGACCACCAGTTCTTCAAGAAGTTTTATCGGATGAGCCCAGCTACCTTCGACATGCTGCATGAGCTGGTGCAGGCAGATTTGCAGCGCATGCACTGCATACGTGAGCCTCTGGCATCGGAAGAGCGACTTGCCATCACTCTGAGGTATGTGTAGTTTCCTACTGAGGCGTGAATTGCAATGGTTCTTCAGAGGCAGACAGCCTGTTCTCTTGACCAAGTCTGCGGTGTCGTTTGAGCTCTTGTTTATACTCCAATGTAACGTTGACGGGCGCGTGCGCCTGACCTCGTCGCGTCACGTTGCTATGAAAGGAGCTTCTATACTTCGACAACAGTCGAACGCAATGCAACGTAACGCAGCGCGCCTCGGCAACCGTTGACGAAGCTTTCGACAAGGTAGGCTCTGCTCGAATTGCGGCGTCGGCTGGCGACGGTCGTTACCCAGAAGCCTTCACGCCAACTCCTGTGATTGCCGTGCTCCCGTCGTTGCTCCAGTCGGGCATCGGTCAGGCGGAGTTGTGTATTCGTCTGCCTGCCGTTCGTGCTTGTGTCATGGAGTGTAGCCGCTGGTGAGTTAGATATGCTTGTGTTGGTGCACAGTTTGCCTATGTCATTCTGTTGATTCCATTTGCTCGATGGAGTGAGCCGGCGCGTCGACGTACACCTGTCTCGGAGCCAAAAAATGTGTAGGCGTAACGACACCGCGGACGCGCTTGAAGCTTTTCGACGAACATCGGCTTCCCATTTTGGCGTCATATCCGTGAGTTTTCGACGCAAAAGGCTAGTCATGAGGTGGTTGCTCCGAACCACCATCTACTTCTCTTTTGTTGATGTTGGTCGACACCATGACCGGCTAATATTGTTCTTCTTTCGCTGACCACGTATGACTTTCGTTAGAAATGTGTTTCTATGCAAGTTATCTTCATTATTTCCTCGTTTTTAAGCATACCACAGTGCAGAGATATCAACTGCCGCGAATCGCAGCTTTTGACACATTTAACTGCTCATCATCACCGTTGAAGGGCAGCCGGGCAGCGCTGTATCTTGCGAACGGAAGCGGAAATTCGCCACCAGCGAGACCAAACCACGCAATCGCCATGGAGACGCGCATGCGCAATGTGAAGCAATTCGTTGGAGCGCTTTGAACGACGCCAGACTATAAACACGGTTGACAATTCCTTTCGCAACGCGGCGTGGCGAAGTGGACGACGAACGTCGTTTCACGTCGTCGGATGTTAGGTTTGTCGACGTCGGAGCATAAACATACTAAATGCAAGTAGAAAACTACTTTTCCCCCCATGTCGGGATTATGAATTTGCTTTTTTCTAACCACAGAAGTATGCTATAGCAGTAGCATTGCCTTTTGCTCTGAATATTAATGATATGAATTACAAAGAACACTTAAAAAATATGTGCATTAACTGCATCCGGTAATTGAATATGTTCTTTACTTCAGCTACCTTGCATCCGGTCAAGATGTGAAGGACGTGGCCTTGGCGTACAGGGTCGGGCTGGAAACAGCTCGGCTGGCTGTTCACGAGACCTGCCGCGCCCTCTGGGCCAGACTGTGCCCCATTTACATGAAGGTGAGCACTTTATTTTTAATACTGGTTGTATGATGTGACAAATTTAATTTGTTAGGAGATCATAGGTGTAGACTACGGGGGGGCATTGGGGCTCGTGCCCCCCCTGGTGAATTCGGGGGGACAGAGCCCCCCCCCCCCGGGCCCGGGCCGTGATCCTTACCAAGACGCTGTTTACGTGCCATGTAACGAGCTTCTAGTAGCAACATGTGAACAAAATAACACCCACGTTGCCTTTATTGACAAAATACATGAGAAATGGAATTCCAGCGTGCTTTCGTTAGCTTCCAGTTCTGTCTTGAAGGAAATGCACAGCACCCCCCCCCCCCAAGGAGAACTCAGCCTGCCCCTCCCGGGAAAATGGAAAGTCTACACCGCTGGAGGTGTCCATAACCTACAGACTCTGATCTGTAGGCTATAGACAAATTGTAGTTCACATGCCATCCACACATTGCCTCCCGTGAGTCCTGGCAAGCACCTCGGTGCATTGCTGCACTGTTGCCCCTCATCTTGGCTTGCAATGCGGCTTTCAAGGCAGACCTACAGAATTATCTGCCACGAGGAAAACCCTTTTCCTGTAGGCTTCTCTTGGTTCCCTTTCACACTTCTCTCTCTTCTCCTGGTAGGATCATGTTTCTTATGGTGAATTCCACTCGTAGATCCGGAGCGCTTTCCAAAATCCGCAAGGGAGGCAAAATTCCGCTTCGTGAAACCCGCTACGAATCGACAAGGGGAAGATAAACTTGCATTTTTGGAGCGACCTCCCCCACACCCCTCCCCACCGCTTCCCCCTCCGCCGTTCAAAATGGCCGCTGCTCAAACTTGACAAGCCCACCAACGCTTCAGCCGACTGATCTTTCCGACGGCCAGTGACGACTGTCACTGCTTAGTTGCAGAAATAACACGCGACATAGATCGGGCGAAAATATACGTACATGGCGCCCACGTCACAAATAACAAAGACGTCCGCGTTCGGCACCGTCACGAACCTTTCGGCCGCCTCGGAGTGGCAGGGCACGGACAGCGATTGCCAGCGGTGCAATTCAGATTTCTGGTACGACTTTAATAAACACAGAGGTAACAAACCATCACTTGTGCGGTTGTTGCCTAATCACTTTTTGCTTTATTTCACAGTAAAACGCCGGCGGAATCCAGTGTAAAAAGGTAAACAATCATTGGCTGCAGAATGAACAGGCCTAACCTTGCGTCTCCCTCCGGCTTTTCTGTCGATCTTCCTTTCACGATCACAGATGTCAGCCCTTACGATTTACCACGCTCCACAGTCCTGGCTTTGTATCCCTGATCTACGCGAGGTAGAAGCGCTCGAGCTGTCACAATCCCGCGTAAACAAACGACGCACCCACACAAATCCAACTCTATGACCCGACTGGTCCGGCCCGCCGGTGCCGCCGACCTCTCCAACCTCGCCGCGCATGCGCACTGCCGATTTAGACGAAAATCACGTGGGCCACTCTGTCAACTTCCGCAGAGATCTGTGAAATCCTGCAGAGCAAGTTCGGTGGGGTTTGGTGCGCTCCGTGGAGCGGGCGCTGCCAGAGATCTACGAGCGGAAGATGACCAACTCGAGTCAGATCTGCGAGCAGAATATGAGCGCTCCAAATGGGAGCGCTTTTGGAGCACTCGAGACCTGCGAGCGGAATTTACCATTAGCTAGTCCTCGCAGAAAGGAGGAAAGTGTTTTTGTTTATCAAGTGAAAAACGGGAATTGAGGGGTGGTTTTTTGGTTTCTGGCTCCATATCTCACTGTGAGACAGTTTCTCCACATGTTTTATTGCTCTGCATACAATTCACAAAACTATAACAGTTCATCTGGAACACCAAATCTAGCACATCAGAACGTTTGGAAAATTGGTGCACAAAGTCTTGTCATCCGGCCATCAGTTGGTTTTGTTTTCGTAATCCCTGGCGACGTGTCAGTACAGAAACCTTAATCCTGCATACGACTAGCCACTTAATGGATGGAACGGTCAAAAAAGTGATCCTGTGCAGTGCGCCCTTATGCACCTTGGTAGGTTGAAGCTCTGGGACAGAGTGTGGTGAGAGTGGTGACAAAGGAATGTAGTGAAAAGGTACCTATCCTCTTTAATCAAGGCAGAGCCTGAAGGTTTGTGGCTTCAGAGCCTGAAGGTTTGTGGCTCCCTTTGTGTCTACTCTCTACACACCAACTCAACTATCTTACGTCATGCCACAGCAGTGGTGCTTGGGGCGCACTTCCAGTTCAAGGTGTGAGCAGAAAATTGCATGCGGGCCGCGCATTGCTATGTTTTCTTGCTAGAAACTTTCCTTCCCAAGGTTTTGCGGTATTGTGTAGACTGGGGCTGCACTGAAAGATCTAGGAAAGGCGTCATGATCAGTTTTCATGTGTCTCCTGCCTGCCCGATCTTACCGAGAATGTTGATAGATGCCGTGAAAAAAGAAAACAAGTCTCCATCAGACCATCATCGCCTGCGCAGCATGCACTTAAAGTGAATTTAAGGAGTCTTCTTGTCATAACATTTGATTGTATTGTTCCAACATTAACTCGGGAGCACCACCATGTGGTCCGACCCACCCGGTTCACGTTCAGTGCATTTTCACATTCAAACAGCTGTCTGCATGTTGAACAGCAGTCGTCACATTTGACCGACTATTGCCTCCAGACCCTGTCAAGGCTATCCATGCCGTCGACATGGTAATTAGGCTTCAAAATAATTATAGCCATCTAAAATCTTGTAAACTTAAAGGGTGTATGGGGTAAATCTGCTCGGTGTTGTAAACATTAATACAAGGTGATGTGACAGTTGTAACCGGTAGTGATAGTGGACTGGTAACAGTAGGATTGAATTCATAACGTAAAAGCCTGCCATACAAGTATTGTAACACACTTCCACTGCCAATTCCTCTTCCACCCTTAATAATAGTGAATAAAATTTGTTTTGTTGGTAAGCCATAGCCTGATTTGTAAATTTATAAATAAATGTTGTCTATTATACAGCCCCCCACGGAGGCTGAATGGGTCGAAGTGGGAAACGGCTTCTCGCGGAGGTGGCAGTTCCCGAACTGCCTTGGAGCAGTGGACGGGAAGCATGTTGCGATAACCTGCCCCAAGGACTCTGGCAGCACCTATTACAACTACAAGGTATGTCTCTGGTCCTTGTCACCATGTCTTAGATATAGCTTGGTAGTTTGTAAATGATCAGAATTCAGGCTTGACAGTTGTGCTGTGAATTTTCCATAGCTTTTATGAAACCCTTATGCAGATTATACCACGTGGGTACATGCTTTTTGACCCCTGGGACCACTGTCATAGCCTGTTCAGCTTAGAATGGATTACAGCCGATGCTGCAAGTCACCGAAGTCAATACAGAGTTCAAGCTTGCCATGTGACCTCCTATCTGGCTAGAGGGATACACGCCTAGTGAAGGCACCTCACATACACAGACCACTTGATTGGCTAAAGTGCTTATAGTTTTACTGCAATCCATCTTATCGTGAAACGGATTATAGTGAATAATGCTTCGCAAAATTAATGTAAGACAACAAAGAATCAACATGAAACTGAAGGTGACCACAAACCTGTAGCAATTCTAACGGCCCAAATTTTGTGTAGTTTGTATAAAAGTAACAGGAAATTTGCTGAGGAATGCCTAAAGCCACAACCACATGGCATTCTTCATGCAATGTGCCGATGTCTGTCCCGGCCAGATTTCGGTGTTGGCACCGGAAGTGGCTTGCTGTGCAGAGACTAATTGGAGATTGGTGCATGGCAGAAGTAAGGCTAAGTACAACTGCTGGAACTTCCGAGTCAGTCTCTGTGTGGCCTATGCAGCAAGTTATGAATGTTTTGAGATTGGGGGTACAGCTTCTGTACTGCAACATTAAACCTTAAAGAGATACTACAACGAAATTTCGGCGCTCATTTTTTGGTCTGTATGTGTTCAAAAGAGCAGTATCACATGGAACATACCAATATCTTGTTAAAAAAAGTGTCGAAAAGGAATTTTAAAACAAATTAAACGAAAAGGAGCACCTGGTGGATGTCGCTAACGCCTCGTTTGTAATGCTCGTCTAGGAACCTTGACAGCTAGTGACGGAGGTTGTCTCGTCTCCGGCCACGACGATAGAAGGGGGGAAGGACGAACTCCCCTCTTCCCGAGAATCCCTCTTGTGTGTCGCAGAAGTCGCTATTGTCCCCCTAGAAGATTATAGAAGATTAACCCGTCACTCAAAATTCGTACAAAGGCAGCCGCTTCGGTGGCTGGAACGACTAGGCCATCCTCTCGACGTCAGCCTCGCCGTAGCTTTGCTCGTCTTGAGACGACCTACGTCACGATTGCGTTGGATGTCACGTGCTCTAAGCTGGGCCTTGTCCGAGCGCTTGCCAGAGTGGGCCGTTTATAACGAAAAATACAGCCACCAGGATCAAAATGCAAACGTGCGATTGTCATTTACGGATATTGTGGATCATATTCAACCTATTTTTGAACACGACGGGAATATTTCAAATTTCGTTGAAGTACCCCTTTAAAGCTTGTAAGTACTAAAGAACCTTTCTTGTCCAGCACCAGTACACTGCCTTATCTCACATCAGGTGCATGCTAATGCTGAGACATTGACACTGGTGAAGCACATAAAAAACAGTCCGTGTAGTTGGGGCCTAAGACGTTTTGCATGTGTATTTGTCATTTTGTTTTATAGAACAAATACATAAATAAATTTGAAGCATGCATTGTCTACTCATATTCTTAGTGAGGTTGCGATATAGCAGTCTATTAAGAAAATTGCAACTGCCGGAAAAGTTTCCAGAAGAATAGCATTTAGCATAGACGGCATGAATACAACAGTGCTTTCTTCCATGTTTTGCTTTTTATGAATATAACAAAATGGGCACAAATGCAGCATGTACTTAAGGGCTGAAATTTAGTATAATTTGTCCTATACTTTGCTTCAGCGTCCAGACGCAGCAGATGCTACAAGCGCGAGCATGTGGCCCTCAACAGTGCTTGTACCGCACGAGCGAGCGTGCTTGGCAGCGACGCTGAAAGCATGGAGCTCGCACTTGTAGCTTCTGCTAAAGGTTTGAAACCACGCTTTAGAGTTAATTGGTGCACGAGTTGGCATTGGAATAAGAAATACTAAAGGAATGGTTAGCTTGATGATATCTGAAAATGATTGTGGCTTTGCAGCTGCAAATAATGATGAATGTATAAACATTATTCAGTTGACTATCTCCAAGCAGAAGTTAGGCAAACATGTGATATTAGAATGGCAATCTGGGCTAGTTGGTTCATGTGTATTTTCGGCACCCTGAAAGTTAAACATGTGATACTTTGTGTAATGTTATCATGAGTAGTCTTGTTAACCACAACACCTCTCTTTTTAGCACACCTTCTCCATAGTGCTGATGGCGGTCGTCGACAGTGGCTACCGCTTCATTTTAATCGACGTTGGGGCCGAGGGACGGCAGAGCGATGGGGGAGTCTTTAAGGCGTCCGATTTTGGGCAAGCCCTCGAGAACGGCACCCTCAACCTCCCCGACCTGGGCAAGCTCCCCCGGTGCCAGGATCCTCGACTGGCCCCTCACGTCTTCGTCGGGGACGAAGCGTTTCAGCTGAGGCCCGATTTTCTGCGGCCATATCCCGCCAAGGACCTGACCGGGGAGAAGCGGGTATTCAACTACAGGCTCAGCCGAGGAAGGTATGCCCAGATAACTAGTTGGCTAGCTTACATTAGATGTAGCAACAACTGTGACAACATGAATTACAAAATCTGTCCACATTCATTCTTCCTCCCCACAGAAGGTGCGCTGAAAATGCCTTCGGCATAATGGCGGCTCGGTGGAGGATCCTGTTGCGAACAATCAACCTGATTCCACAAAATGTGGATTACGTCGTCAAGGCCACGTGCGTGTTGCATAACTACCTCCTGGAACACCGCGAGCATCCCGAAGGCTATGCAGATAAGGACGATTGTTTCGGGAACACCACAGAAGGGTCTTGGAGAGCGGAAACGTCGGAGGCTTCGAAGAAGCTGCTCTTCTCGATGCAGCCGACGTTTTCTCGCAACTTCTCAGATGAGGCTGGGGCAGCTAGAGAAGTATACACCCACTACTTCTCTAGTCCACCAGGGGAGGTTAAGTGGCAGTGGAAGTTGCCTGGCGTAGACAAAGGAAAAATCCAAAGAGGTCTCGTGCAGAAAGGTGCAATGATGAAGTAAAGCCATGTTCCAGATTTGGTGAAAGAATCGTTAAGAGCTCCAGTGATGAAATTGGCATTCAACCTTTTGTAGCAGGTTCTGTAGCAGACTTTTTTCCTTGCCTCCTACTTTCCTGATTAATAACTAAGCAATAAACTTTTTCTTTTTTGCTTTGCTTATTATTGTGCAGGTTTGGCAAAATTCTTAGCAAAAATGTCACTGCAGCGCAAGATGTAGCAGACTTTTGATTATGGTGCAAAAGGGCGCAGCACTTTCATCACTGGAACTCTTTCGAAGTCTTAACTGGAATGGCTCATTAAACCTGCACATTTTTTTGTTGTAATGCTCTGCCCAAGTTTTGTCGAGTATAGTTGACACCAGGCAGATTCCACTGTGCAAGCATCGACGCAAATCTTGTTTTACAACTGTTTTAGCTAGTGATTGACGATTTTGGTGTGCTCAGCATTGTGAAACGAAACCTATGTTAAAATTTTTCTCGCCTCTTTATGTCAATTTATTTTCGCACCTGTAACATTTCTTACTTTTGTTAGCTACATTTCCAGGTATTATTAAAGCTGTTGAATGTATTTTTAGTGAGTTCTGTATAGTCTGCAGTCTTTGCTCCACTTTGCCCTCGGAACTGGACCATGTCTTGTCCTTTCTAGTTTTAAGGATCCTCCTGTTTGTTCTGTAAAATAAAGAAAATTCTGTGCTTCACTTTCTTTATTGCTATTTAAATGGTAAAAGTATACAAGCAAACGGCCACCAAAATGCAGCTTGCTAAGACCTTACCCCCCCCCCCCCCCCCCCCAACGAAAAAAAACAACATTACCATATTTTCTGGGATATAGTCCACACTCAGCGCCTAATCCAAATGTAAAAATCATCCAAGGTCAGCTCATGTACCAGGGCTAGCACATTAAAAGTATTGTACCCAGCACCCCTTCACAAATCCCTGCTGTATTAGCTTACGAAGAAGCTTGTATCGTACATAAAACAACATGAATATACTTTGTTAGTCATAAAATCCCATGTCTTGTCACAGTGGACAATCTAGAAAAAAATTTATATAGTCTGCACTGGCTAACTTTTCAACTTTTAGGCATGTATAGTATATGCACTATAACCCAGAATATATGGCACACACCAGAATTTGCACACAGTTGTATGAAGAATATTGGAGAAAACACTAAACATGAGGTAGAAAATGTTAAAAACGTAGAAAAAAAAAGGTTAAAACATAGGAAAAATACTTAACATAAGCTTATGTCAATTACTTTCTTTCCTAGACATCACAAAAAAAAAAGAAGAAAAAAAAGCTTTTAGCCATTGTTTGGAGCTCCTGGCATGTATTCTTTTAGCAGCTTCAAAAACGCTACTCGCAAGTCTAGGACCCGTGAGGGGTCCACTTGCCGCATTGGGTCAGCCAGTGACAGCAGGAAGTATTCATGCGAGTCTATCCCTTGGAATCTTTTTAGTCTAGCATTAATGTCTTCAAGTTCTTCCGCGACTGCATCCTGCACTTTTTTTTTGGGGGGTGGGGGTTTGCTTTGCGCACCACAAAAGCTCGCTGCTCTTTTTCGTGGGTTGGGAGCAGTGCTGGGGCTCGCTGGCACCTCGACACATTCTGAAGAGGTCCCATTGGCAGCACTGGAGGTGCACGCAGGGCTGTCTGCGCACTGCACGTCCTCTACGAGCACCGCGTCCACACATCCTCTTGGATCCGGTGCTTCGTAGAGGTCGGCAATGCGCTCCAGCAGGTCCTCTGCACAGTCTTGTTGTGTGCCTCGCCCTTCGTCCACCACGGGCACCACCATATTTCCAGAGGTCCTGCAGAAAAGTATTCCAGGGAATGTTTTTTGTACTGGGTTGCTGAGTATATGTAACTACCCTTGTTTCAGCAGCATTCCTTAAAAATGCGCATGGGAGGCCTCGATATATCTCTGTATGCCGCCTCTAGGCAGAACTCCAGAAATGTAAAATACACGTACTGGCGATGGGCGACGGTGTCCTTGAGGAACAGCATCTGCTCAAAGTACGGCAGCGTGACATCGGGTATGGTGTCTTCTGCACCAGCACCGCTCTTCTGCTGCTTTGCCAGCTCGGCCACGTACCGAGTGAATCGATCCCTCAACGATTTCCAACGTCTTTGCACAAGAATGAGGCTCACTGAGGGAAATCAAGAGTTCATAAAGTAAGGTAGGACATAGTTACTCATATCACAAGTTATGTATAGCAGTATGCAGAAAATTGATTCTAGAAAGAAAGAAACAAATTTTAAATGCAACTCCACCCTTTTTTTTTTCTCGAAACTTTAAACAGGCTTGGTTTCCACTTGTGCTTTGTATCAAACTTTTTTTCCCCCTACATATTTTACTTTTCCACTTTCTTAAGCAAGATAAAAATTTACAAAATACCACCAGTTAAAACGGCAGCTGCCAAACGCGCATTTGTTCTACACTGTAGGCTGTTCCACATACAGACAAGGATTTCATGCAGGGACGCGTAGTGAGGAAGTTACAATTAAAATAATTCAATGCTCAACAAAATGTCAGGGCGTAGCTTTCGACAATACTTGCGCGAGAGCTCAGCATGATATCAGGCGCGGGCTTTCCGCGTTTGCGAAAGTGGTGTCGCCGGGACTGCTACGCAACGAAACAATTCCCATCCCCGGCCCACCCCGCGAACTCGGGTTGCGCGAGGCACAGGCATGATGGCTTCATAAAATGCTTTCCGAGTGGGAGTGCTCGTGCAAACCATGACACCAAATAACCCAAGCGCCCGTGTCTCTTCGAAAGCAAGACAGTTATTTACACGCTTTACAATACACTGAATAGACCAAGGATGAAAGCATACATACCGTCCGTTGGGTCTCCCGGCAGCATGAGCTCTGCGATCTCCACCCACAGCAGTTTTTTTTTGTTCGTATCTTTATAGTCTTTTGACTTAACCTGCCAAAGGCACGGCCTCGCGAATACTTCCCGTATTAGCCTTTCGTTGCAGATCGCAGGAGCCATTACAGTAGCAGGTGAACAAAAACAACAAACCAGCGAGGCCTACTCTCCGGTGCACCTCGACTCAGTTCGGCGCCTCGGCTGTTCGAAGCTACTTCCGGCTGTCAACTCGCGAGCTGATTGGTCGGCGCCGCGTCGAACGCTTCCGGATACGCAGCGTCAAAATACGTCGAGGCGTCGAGATCTATCCTGGTCAGATCTCCGAATACGTTCGTATTTACGCCGACCGAGGAAGCGCTCGTCCCGACGCCCGCTGTACGTCGGGATTACGCCCGCCAAAACGCCCGTAAATACGTCGCAAATACGCCCTATGTGGTTCGGGCTTAAGGACGGACGGGGAGGTTCATCGGCGTAATTGCCTCCGCCGATAGTTTTCGGGATTTGTAACCCAATTTTAAAGGTAAAAGGGACAAGCAGGCTTATAAAATGTACGGAAGCACGTTAATATCGGCCTAACTCAACGTCTTGTACACCGGGTAAACGAAGTCCGGCTCCTCGAAGAGCTTGCGGCACACAACGCCAAACCAGGAAATCGGTGCTGGGAAGCGACCAGATGCGAGATCGCGGAGCGGGGTACTCGCGCTGACGTCACGGTACACCTCACCCAATCAGGGCGCGGCGACCGCAGCGACGCTTGTGTTCGCTCTCGGGGCTAATACCTGATAACCTCTATTTCTTTTGGATCCTTTTCAAGGGAGTATATTTTCCACTTCGGGGCACTTTTCTTGTTTCTGGCACTTACTACTGCAGGAACTGTTTCACACTCACTTTCTTCTTTGCTTTCACAGCACTCATTTGATGTTAATGTGGAAGGGAATTGGCCGGATTCCACTCTTCGTTCCTACGTAAAATATGCTGGCGTCCAATACCTGCCACAAAAAGGGTACTTAAGATTCCAAAAATGACTAAGAGTGTGTAAACATATATGATGCCAGCATTTCTTTTTTTTATTTCCAATGAGCAACATTATATTATGCCAAAACTCTCCCTAAATGCACACTGCATTTCACAGCGCGCTAAACTCTGCCGGAAAAATCGGCGCCTGCACGCAAAGGGGCGTCGTTTCCTCAGCAGTGTATTTTACCTTGTGAAATTTTAAGGCGCTCCTTTCTTTTGCAGCTAGAACATTCTTAAAAATACTAAAAATGCGTTCGCCACGGACGACCGAGTCTTCCGCTGGCAAACGCTGTCGTTTGCGTACGATACGCCTTGAAATTTTCACCCCATGGTCGATCAGGCGCCGATTTTTCCGGTTGCTTTCCCATACCTTGAGCCACCCAGAAACACCGCGCGCCCCCGTAAATAAAAAAAAAGAAAAAAAAAAAGAATGGAACGGCATTGAGTGTTTTGTTTACTTACCGACTATGTGCGTGGACCGCGCCACGTTGCGCTGCCTGATGCACCCGCGTTTTGGAACTAATTCAGTTGACAGTTCCCTCCGAAGATGAAGCCACTGAAGCCACGGCGGTAATCGTACTGGTAGGCTGTTCCCTTTCGAACGGGCGGAAGAAGACTACGAAGAATTCGGCAGCGAACGGGCGGAAACTCGATTACGTACAGCTTCATTAGTCGACGCTTTGTTTTCTCGATTGCGTTCGCGGCGTTCACCGTGGACTCGCGCACTCGGCCGTAGCCGAACCAGCCGAACGGCCGAACCAGCTGGACGGCTGCCGGCGCGCGTACCGACAGCGTCGCCATAGCAACCACGCCGCGAGTGTGGTTGCCAGACAGAATTCACACGATTTTTTTTTTCTCGTCACTCACGTTGAGTTACTAGAAGTTAGGCGCGTATCATTATAATACATTATGCTGTAAGAAGTTATTAAGGGATATGTGTACCTACCTAAGACAAGTGCAGAAAAAATATTATTGAAAAATAAAATTGGCGTAATCTTTTCATATCTTGATTAAGACTAGCGTGGTCACTGGGCTAACCGATGCGCAAAATAGGAGGGCATATATACCGCTCGGGGCAGTTGTCAGTTTGTATAAGTAGGTTGTATGTACTGTTTGTTGTGTGTGTTATTGATCAGTGCTTGTATGCGCGTGTGTATGTACAGTGTTGTATGTATGTCGATGTCGTGAGTGAATGTAACCGCGCGGTGGGCAGCAAAAAACTGCTGTTTTCTTTTTTCAAATGTTTATCACTTTTTGTTTTCGTCGCTAGATGGGGGTTGTCGCCGCCCAATTTGAAAAGTGTGGCGGTTGGTGATCTATAACTATTAGAGGGCTGGATGCCATTAGTCCATCCGTCGTGTTGATCGCTCCGAGTTATTCGGTTCCGCTGGCAGCTGTGTCAGCTGTGTCGCCGTGTTATGCTGCCTGATTGCAACAAAAGGAGGTTAGGCGGCTTCCCCAGCGCGTGTTCTAGGTGCTGAATGCCGCTGTTCACGCACAAACGTTCATGAGTGGATAACGCACGTAACAGAGGTGAGCACAGGCAATAGTTAATCGAGAGCCGCACGGAGCGCGAGTGCGATACCTCCTAGCCGCTGTCGACAGAGGGTGTCGGAGCGATTCGTTGTCAACTTGTCCACGGCAAGTGGGCGTTTTGTTCAATAAAGCCAGCCTGTCAGTGTTTTGTAAAGCTATCCCTTCTTTATAAGCGCTTCTGATGCGATGAAAATGCGACCGGCATTGAGCAGGCCGAGCGAGACTTCGGCGACAGTCTCGGCTGTTCAGTCTCCAGCGGTTTCGGCCTTACTCGTATTATTTGCGGTGTTGGCGCTTGGACATAGAGATGTTTGGAAAGTTTTTTGCGCCTACAGATGACACCAAACGAGCGTGCGAGCCGTATGCTCTTGCTCCGGCGAGAAGCCGCGTACGGCTCGCCAGGCTCGTATCGCCTGTCGCATACTGGCCGCCATATTGTTTTTAGGGTGTTAGCAGTTAACACGATTTTCACCACCTCCGGCGGCTAACACCCTTACACGAATAAAGGCGTTAGCCAGAGGACGAGCCATTTACACGAATAAGGGTGTAAAAATTTTAAGTGTGTATGGAGGAGACTCCAGGCGGGCAACTTCCCGAACAAGGTGCTGGCCAGACACGTGGATCCGGACAGGTACGAAGACGACAGCTGCCCCTGGTGCGGCTCCCGAGCGACACTCTACCACTCCACGTGGGAATGTACGAATAACGACGAGCTTCCCAAGCTCCAAGACGAAGAAAAAGGCCAAGCCGGCTGGGAGAGGCTGCTGCGGAGCAGGGACCCCGGAGAGCAGCTTAGGCTGCTCGAAAGGGCCAAACTTGCTGGCCAGCTTCTAGGGATCCTGGAATGAGGAACCCTCCCCGCTAAGGCTCCACTTCCGTCATCATCAGCATCATCCCTCATGTTCCAATAAACGTTTTCCTCCTCCTCCTCCCTTCCTGAAACCGCCGCTATAGAGCAGGGCAAACGCTGGCCGGCGGTGGCCAAGGAATACCAAGGGCACCGCCCCCAGACCCGCGGAGGCATATTTTTAACGCGCAGGCCGTACACATTAGAGCAACGGCGCTCACGCCGGATTGGATGGTTCGTGGAGCGGTTGCAACGCGAGTTTCCGAAGCGGTAGCGTGTACCTTAGTGGTAAGATATCTGCCTCATACGTAGGGGACCCCGGTTCGATTCACGGCGTGGGCTTACTTCTTCTTTTATCTTTTCTCGAACATTTTGTTGTGTCGAGGCATTTGGCGATATTTACGACATTTCTTTTTCGTAATTAACACTAAAAAAAAAAAGTAAAAAAAAAAAAAAAAAAAAAAAAAAACGAATGCTGTGGACGAAACTTCGCTGAACTAAATGGTATGGCACTCTATTTACGGAAGTTCATGGGACACAGCGGGGCTTGGGTTGCCGGCTGGACGCCGCCAAGCGGCGTGTAAAAGGGGTGGGAGGTGGGTGGGGGCTAAGTGGGTTAATAGTATTGTAATTAGTAGCCGCATACTGCCGCCGCGAAGCGGCGTGAACGCAGGCGGTGTTACTAAAGCCCCTGTATACGGAAAAGTAGCGGCATCATTTGAATAGTGCCGCCTGCTATCCTGGAGTGATCCAGGCGGCGCTACCGTTGACGCGCGAGCGCGAAAGAGCAAAATATAACAGTAAGAGTGTGCATGAGGCACAAGGAGGGAGAAGGAATTCGTATGCTGTCAGAGTGCAGTGCATGCTATATGAGCTCATGACGCCAATCAAATAACGCCGACTGTGTAACGTCACGGCTTTCATAGTCTTTCTTTGAGCACATTCTTCGAGGCTGGTAGACCGTGACAGTGCGTTTTTGAGCCTGTGTGTATGTATTTTGCGTGTCTTTCAGCCTTTGACTGTGCTCCGACTCAAGTATACAAGGCCGTCTGATACCTTGGAGCGATTCAGGCGGCGCTACAATCGACGCGTGGGTCTAAAAGAGCAAAACACAAAAATAAAAGGTGTGCGCGTCAGAGGAGGAGGGTTAAGGTGTCGCTACCTTTCTTGATCAGGGACATTAGGTGTTACACGCGCCGTCCGAATCCGAAATTTAAGTTCCCGCGCGTTGCCAAGCAGCCAATACGGCGTGAGCGTCGTTGCTAGGGGGTCAATCGTCTGCGCCATAAAAATTAGTGATGGACCGAATCTGCCGAAGTTCAGATTCCGCAAAGTTCGGCCGGCACCATGCCGAAATCTTGAAGAAAACTTTGGCAAAGATTCAGCAAAAATTCGGCAAATGTCTGCGCACGCGCGCGAACGCGACGGGGCCATGGATTGCAAGTGGACGCCGTGCGGTCATGCGATTACCATCGCACAGCTTAGTAGAACCAGCGGTCACGAGACGAAAACGCGAGGCTTTTGAACATCGCAAAGCCTGACGTTTTCGTCGCGGGATGCGCGTGCCGTGGAGAAATCCCCGGGATTTCTCCCTCGTGTGAATACCCCTTTATCCTCTCCGGCACGCGCGCATCACGAGACGAAAACGCGAGGCTTTTGCACATCGCAAAGCCTGACATTTTCGTCGCGGGAGGAGAATGCTGCAAACCTCAGACGAGAACGGACGTCTTCTCCGGGCTCCGCGAACCCCGGAGAACTGAACCTGATCCTGGTGTAAACTGTAGAGACCGGCGACCGTCGAGGCCAGAGAGGAACGAACACACACACGCGCCTGGTCCGGGTGGAACGAAACAAGTAACTTCGTCTGCCTCTTTACTCTCTCATATATATACAACCTAATAGTAGCGACTCCTACCACAACATCCCCCATTCTCAGAAACATCACTCGTGGATGAACACATCAGGACATACTACCTCACTACAAGTTCAGTCTCTTTGGAGCTACTACTCGACGGCCAGATCTCGTGCGTCGAGGAGTGTGGA